GGAAAACTTCAGAGCATTTCAACTGTGTCCAGGTCCTATAACTCAATTATATTAATTCAAGTATACTTTAAATGTTATTGGTACCATTGGATAGAGCATAGACAAATGACTAGTCTATTACTATTGGTATGACTAGTGACTTGTATAGTTGTTCGATTTAGTGCACTATCCAAAGGTACTAAGAACAAAAAAAGTGACCATCCCTTCATGAGTTATAGGGACCGTGTGGTACCCAAACACAAAATAGATAATAAAAAATTTTCGAACTCAAAATGCTATCTTTAAATAGAGTATGACTTATTCTGAAGAAATATTATAAATTTAACAATTTTTCATGTTAAAAATCATTGAAAACTGTAATTAATATTTAAAATATATTAAAAGAAAAATAACTTTGGAAGTAAGATCTGGTTTACAAAGATAACTTGTTCACTTTAAAAAATTTTGTATATTAATTTAGTTATCCTCGCGTCAATTACTGGTGGAAAAATTTATAATCTAATTATATAATTGAGAAGAGTTTGTCCGTTTGTCTGTCCTTTTATAGACAAGTGGGCTTTTATAGTAAAGTGATTTGGGGGAGTGAGAAAATGGGGGTTTTTATAGTAAAGTGTTGCCTGTTGAAAAAAGTTGTGAGGGTAAGCAGATAGTATAAAAGCAGGGTATTTTGGTCAGTCCTCAACTGATACCAACACATTTTCAACTTTACTGCGCTCTGTTCTACGTCAAATTTGCTGGGGTCCTGTGTCCTCTTGAGTGCTGGGCGTCAACGTTCATTTGTCAAGTGCTAGACGTCAACGTTCATGTGTCAAGTGCTATCTGTCAACGTCACTTGAAGTGCAGGCGTCAACGTTCATTTGTCAAGTGCCAGGCGTCAACATTCATGTGTCAAGTGTTAGACGTCAACGTTCATTTGTCAAGTGCTAGATGTCAACGTCACTTGAAGTGCCAGGCGTCAGCGTTCATTTGTCAAGTGCTAGACGTCAACGTTCACGTGTCAAGTGCTAGACGTTCAACGTCACTTGAAGTGCCAGGCGTCAACGTTCATTTGTCAAGTGCCAGGCGTCAACGTTCATGTGTCAAGTGCTAGACGTTCAACGTTCATGTGTCAAGTGCTAGCTGTCAACGTCACTTGAAGTGCCAGGCGTCAGCGTTCATTTGTCAAGTGCTAGACGTCAACGTTCATGTGTCAAGCGCTAGCTGTCAACGTCACCTGAAGTGCCAGGCGTCAACGTTCATTTGTTAAGGGGTAGGCGTCAACGTTCATTTGTTAAGTGCTAGACGTCAACGTTCATGTGTCATGTGCTAGACGTCAACGTTCATGTGGCAAGTGCTAGACGTCAACGTTCATTTGAAGCGCCAGGCGTCAACGTTCATTTGAAGTGCTAGGCGTCAAATTTCAGTCGAATATTGAAACCGGGAATTGTGAGACAGGCGGAATATTGAAGAAGGGGGAATTGTGAAGCAGGTGGAATATTTAAGCAGGGAAATTGTAACGCAGGTCGAATATTAAAACAGGTGCAATTGTGAAGTAGGCGGTATTGTGAGAGGCAAGGGGAATTGTAAAGCAGACGGAATATTGAAACAAGATGAATTGTAAAGCAGGAGAAATATTGAAACAGGGGAATTGTGAAGCAGGCGGAATATTGAAGCAGGAGAATGAAGGGTGATGTGAAGCGGAGAATTGTAGAGCAGGCGGTATTGTGAGACAATGGGAATTGAGAAGTAGGCGGAATATTGAAACAGAGGGAATTGTGAAGCAGGCGAAATTGTGAGGAGAAAAAATGGGTAAGCGAGATGGGCCGGCCAAAGGCTTTTGAATCGGATCTTGAGTTGAATTGTTTTGTTATGCTAGCGGAGTCACACGAGCGCCTGTGTGTACCCTATCAGGTGCGCCTATTAGATGCTTTGCTTTGTTAAATGTTTTGGTAATAAGGTATTGTTTTAATGCTGGCCAATGTTTTGACTATCGGGTTTTTCTGATTATGATTGGATTAGGGCCAATTTTGAGGTTGTGATTTGGAGTTTGTTTTTTGGTTTGTTTTGTTTTTGCTAGCGGGGTGGGGCGGCCGAAGGCCGACCAACTCCGCTAGTCTAATTATATAATTGAGAAGAGTTTGTCCGTCTGTCTGTTTGTCCTTTTATAGACAAGTGGGTTTTTATAGTAAAATGATTTGGGGGAGTGAAGAAAAGGGGGCTTATATAGTAAAGCGTTGCCTGTTGAAAAAAGTTGTGAGGGTAAGCAGATAGTATAAAAGCAGGGTATTTTGCTCAGTCTTCAACTGCTACCAAAACATTTTCAACTCTACTGTGCTCTGTCACGTCAACTTTTGCTGGAGTCCTGTGTCCTGCTGGAGAGGAGCCAAGCGTCAACGTTCATTTGTCAAGTGCTAGGCGTCAACGTTCCGGTGCTAGACGTCAACGTTCATTTGTCAAGTTCTAGGCGTCAACGTTCCTGTGCTAGACGTCAACGTTCATTAGAAGTGCTAGACGTCAACGTTCATGTGTAAAATGATAGGCGTCAAATTTCAGGCGAATATTGAAAGGGGGAATTGTGAAACAGGCGGAATATTGAAGCAGGGGGAATGGTGAAGCAGGCGGAATATTCAAACAAGGAATTGTGAATCAGGCGGAATCTTGAAACAGGTGGAATTGTGAAGCAGGCGGTATTGTGAGGCAAGGGGAATTGTGAAGCAAGGGAATTGTGAAGGAGTCGGAATATTGAAACAGGTGGAATTGTGAAGCAGGCGGTATTGTGAGGGAAGGGGAATTGTGAAGCAACGGGAATTGTGGAGCAGGCGGAATATTGAAACAAGGTGAATTGTGAAGCAGGTGGAATATTTAAACAGGGGGAATTTTAAAGGAGGCGGTATTGTGAGGCAAGGGGAATTGTGAAGTAGGCGTAATATTGAAGCAGGAGGAATGAAGGGGGATGTGAAGCAGGAGGAATATTGAAGCAGTGAGAATGAAGGGGGATTGTGAAGCAGGCGGAATATTGAAAAAGGGGGGATTGAGAAGCAGGCGGAATATTGAAACAAGGTGAATTGTGAAGCAGGTGGAGTATTTAAACTTGGGTAATTGTGAAGTAGGCGGAATTGTGAGGAGAAAAATGGGTAAGCGAGATTGGTCGGCCAAAGGCTTTTGAATCGGATCTTAAGACGAATAGTTTTGTTATGCTAGCGGAGTTACACAAGCGCCTTTGTGTATCCTATCAGGTGCGTTTATTAGATGCTTTGCTTTGTTAAATGTTTTGGTAATCAGGACTGTTTTAATGCTGGTCAATGTTTTGATGATCATTTTTTTATGTTTATGATTGGATTAGGGCCAATTCTTGAGTTGTGATAAGTTGATTTGGAGTTTGTTTTTTGGTTTGTTTTTGCTAGCGGGGTGGGGCGGCCGAAGGCCGACCAACTCCGCTAGTTTGTAAAAAAGCGAAGTTTTAAGTTTATACATATCACATATTAACTAGATGTGATAGTGATTAAAAGTTATAGAAAAACTTATAGTAAATTTTATGTTTAATTACTTTTTAAAATGGTTGAAATTGAAAATTTGAGTTTGACCAATTAACTAAAACTTACAAATAGCTAGACATGTCTCGGACTGCTAGAGCTGTCCAAGACTCTCGACTTCAACTGCGGTGTTAATGTCCGAAAATTAAAAATTTTGAATTTGGTCTAAAAAGTACGGTAATTTTCTGATTAGGTCCCGAAATCCAAAATTTTCGGTTCGGATATTAGAAGTTGATTTGGGTTTAAGTTGTGATTGGTTGATTTGGGTTTAATTTTTTTAAATATTTAAAAAAATATTTAAATAAAAGTAAATATTTATAAAGCGACAGGATAAAAATGCTTTTATAATACAAACTTTGGTCACAATTAAAATTAAAAAAGTTAAACTTTAATGCATTGTGCATGTCAAGCAATTAATGCAAAATACCTGTTCTAAAATATTATAACAACTAATTAAATTCCTTTAAATTCAGCAAAAAAATTGTAAAATATCGCGTAAAAACTATTGAAGTGTAAATTTTGTGGAAAAAATTTTTCAAACAGCAGTGATCAGCAATAATAATTATAAAATCAAAACCTGTTTGTGAATATTTTTGGCATATAAAAGCCGAAATATTCCATCCATAAATTCATTCCTTTGATTCTTCAAAGATTTCATTTAAAAGATTCTTCCCACCCAAATTTCTATATCGCTGCGAAATTTCAGTTTTAAGTTCTATAAGTTTTTATTTCTAATAATTTGGTAAAACTGCCCCCTCCCTTAATTTCAAAATTTCCCCTTATAAAATTTTTCCTTTATGCTTATATTTAAATCCCTTTTAAATCAAATAATATAAAAAGTCCCCTCTATTCATTAATTTATTTCATAAATAAAGCTCCTTTAATCTATTACATTAACTAAACCCCCGTTAATCTATTCATTTATTTTATTAATTAAAGTTCCCTAATCATTAATTTATTTTTTGAATTAACTTAATTACTTAAATTAAAGTTCCCTTAATTTTTTGATTTATTTTATACATAAATTATAGTCCCCTTTATTTATTTTTTCAATTAAATTGATCCCTTTAAAATTAATGTTCCTTTATTTAAAGTCCCCATAATTTATTTTTTAAATCACTGTACTAAATTACTGTATTAATCATTTACTTTCCATTAAAGGCCATTGATTAAAGTTCTTTGTTAGTTAAGATTAAAGTCTTAACGAAAAATCCATCTTTATTTTAAATAATTTAAATAATTCTTTAACTTAAAAGCTTTAATTACAGTAATACTTAATAATCGATATTATTAGCAAAAAATGAATACTAACTCAAAGGCTGTTGCTAAAAAAGGTAATTATAATAATTTATTAAAAAATTTATATTAGATGAACCAATCATATTAGATGATGATTCACGTGGTAACGGTTAGTCACAAATCGCTTATTTTAATAGACTTTTATTTTTAGAGACTGAAACTGTCGTGAAAGATGATACTCAAAAGAACTCAACCGTTGAAAGTTTGAGTCACATCTATATTTTTAATATTTATTTCTTTAGCTTCAATTACTGCAGAAGAGATGGAGCAAGTTCGGGCTTTTATCAATGAGCAGAGAAAGAAAAAAGATGCAGCGGAGGCTAGAAGAAGAAGATCAACGACAAAAACATCTGCGTCATCAAATAAAACACCTACACCAAAGAAGGCTAAAACTACGGAGAAAAAAACTATTGCTACAAAAAATGATTTTAATAGTTCTATTAGTGTAAGTACATTATCCATTAGTCATGTTTCATTAATTAAACAGTCAATTGCTGAAAAAGCAAGTGGACAGTCCGAAAAGGAAAAACAAGATGATGAAGACTTACACCAGGCAATACTCAATTATTATGAGGAAGAGGATGAATCAAGTGATCCTGATTCAGACGAAGAAATTGAATTAGGAGAAAATGAGGAAGAATATAAGGATATGCGCCTCAGTCGTAATTTTAATATTTTTACTTAATTAAAATAATTTTAGGAAAACTACGAAAGAATTTCGTTGTGCCAACAGCACTACTTAACCGAGCCCAAATCCTTAAGGACCAACGTCGTGGTATATTCGTATATCAGTGTGAATCTTGCCGCAACCATCAGAAGAAAAGGCCCTATTTTTTATTTAAAATTGGACATCCAGGATTGTCAATTTTAACAGTAGAATTATGTGCCGATGATCTGGACAAAAACATTTCATTAGGAATGCACTACAATGGATACTTTGGTAAAAAATTAATTATTATAATTGTATATTTTTTCAGGTAATTCATCAAATTATTTGTTATCAGGCGCGCAGTCGACAAAATCCGATAACGGTATTATTATATAATAGAACATGAAACAATTAAGTTTAAGATGAGAAAACATTGAAATTTCGTCGACTTGAGGGAATTACAAAAGGAAATGAGAAGAAATTGTTAAACCTTATGAAATATTGCTGGATACTCCACCAGGTACTTTGTAATTATTTATTTAAATAATATTCCATTAGTGTTCGCAATGTTCCGACCTTACAAAGAAAATGGCTAGTGATCTTTTTCTTCAGAAGAGTGGTGAAAAATATGAACTTAGCTTCATGGTATTTTTTAAACTTAATGAAACCAACCATTGTAATTAAGGTTTGTTCTGTTTGCTCTTCGTCTAACATAGACTACCAACAAAAAACCTACGATAATAAAAGCAAAAATTAAGATAGACAACGATTAAATTGATATTAATATTAAATATTAACTTTTGAATAAAATCATTTTTTAACAAATTAATTATTAAATCGTCATTTCGATTTACATATTTAAATTAATTAATCAATTTCTTATTTAATTTAGGCAACTACAATAAAATTTTAAAAAATCAAGGTAATAGCTTAATTTGAATTAGTCACATCTTAAATTAAGATGGATCAGGAAATGTATGAACAAGCAATTGATGGTCTAAAGGAAAGCGTTATACGTTTCTCACGTCAACTAAACACTTTAGAATATGTGCGCAAAGACGACAATATGCTAAAAAATGAACTCTACGATGCTTTTATTAATTTTCACGAAAAGCGATATCCACTTTCGAAAGGTCAAGTGCATGAATATCTACTTAGAGAGAGGAATGCTTTGGCAAAAATTGTATATATTTTAATTTATAACTTATAATTTAAATTTAGGCAATTACTGAAGTTGTCAAGGAGGAGTTATATCTTGAGCTTCATAATCCGTTTAGCAAATTCTGGTCTAAAATAGATTTAGATATGGCAGTCAAGATATTTAACAAGCACGCAAGCATTCACGGACCAATCGCGAGAGAAGGTTAAACAAAAAACTAATATATTATATTTTTAAAAATTAGATTCTCCAATAATATTTATGAGAGAGCATGCGGATAGTTTGACCACGATTCAAACCATCAAAGAGGACAAAGAAGTACAAACTGAAGGAAGCTTTGAACAACAAGTTGTACCTGAAATGGCAGAAAAAACAGATTAAACGATGAACGTTTTATAAGTAAAATTAAATCGTAGAATAAACAATTAATATAAAATTTTTTTCTTAAAATGTTTATTCTGTTGTTACCTAACAATTTTACAAATTTTAATCTAGTTTTTAGATGAATTATTCTAAAAAATTTGGAAAATATTCTGTCAATCATTTTTACAGAGAAGATGCATCAGAGACTATTAAAAGCGCTAAATTCAAAATAGGAGTTTTCAGGTAAAATATAAATTTTGTTTTAATTTAAATATCTTTTAGAAATGTGTTCACTGTTACAAACATAGAAGATGCACCCGAAGGGAGCGATCAGTTAATGGAGGATTTAATTGACTATTTTATCGCAAAGGCAGACAAAGCGACAGGTGCAAAAGCAGAGAAGTGCTCTATAATTATAAGAAGCACAGTACTTGAGAAGCCCATTCAAATTCCATACCGTGGACTAGCTCAAAATACGCCACAAGTTGTTATGGAGCAATTAGATTCTGTGGACCAAAGTGGTAAAAGAATGGGAAGGCCATCTCTTTACAGTCAACCAATCCATATTGAGGTATTCGAAAATTAGTTATAAAGCCTATTTTTTATTAAGATTGTTATGGGGCCTTCTCATGAGGAGGCTTTAGAATTGATACAAAAAGGTCAAAGTGGAAGTGGTAGAAAATCACGGGAAATCAAGCATGGAATAGATACAAACAATCTAATAGAGGTTTTTCCATTTAAAGAATAATTTATATTAAGATAGGTTCAAAATGAAAATCTCGGAGAACACTACAAATATCATTGCCTTCTATTGGCTGTACAGCTTACAATACTTTACGTCAACATGTCTAAGACAGTCAAAGCAAATAAAACATTTCAAAGACTTGTAAATGGCATAGGAGCAAGCGCTAAATTACATCGCTGCGCGTATATCAAGGATATACTTACACAAATGAAGAGGCACGGAATCAGATATCCTGCAAATTTACAACATTATAGTGTGGAAGAACATGTTCCATTGATACAAAAATTTTTAAATGCACGATTTCCTGGGCAATACAGATTATCGGTTTTTGGTGAAAATGGCCAGACTCGTCCTATTTGGAAAGGACCTAACCGAGCACAAAAAGATATTAGTCTTTACTTAAAGGATGGTCATTACTATGGCATAAGGAGATTAAATACATTTTTTGGCAAAAATATATATTATTGCTTAGACTGTGAAGCTACATACCAAAATAATATTAAACATAGACAAATATGTGCAGCAAAATGTCCACGTTGCTGTGGGATGGGTCCAGATTTTCCATGTAAAGAAGTTGATAATTTTGAATTAAAGTGCTTAAAATGTTATAATTTGTTCCGTAATCCATTATGTTACAAACGACATGTAGATAAAGGAATTTGTAGGATTTTCAAAAGGTCATATTTAAAATAAAGTAAAAAATAAAAGAATATATAGATGCAAGGAATGTGGCCAAATCTATAGTGTTAAATATAATGAAGGGCATCATATGTGCTATGTTCATTTCTGTTCTCTATGTCGATCCTGGCACAATCGTGATGAGAAATGTTTTGTTCAAACTATTGTTCCTAGTCAAAAACAAAGAGATTATCTTTTGGTGGGAGTATTTTATTTTAAATAGATAAATTATTTAGGTTGTATTTGATTTTGAATGTGAGCTTATGTCACCCTTAAAAAATATAGATGAATGGTGTAAGCTTGAAAAGGACATAAATGACTTACCTGATGACGAAAATTATCGGTTGCATCACGTGAATTGTGTTTCGGTTATTTAAATCAATGATAAAAATAAAAATTTCAACTAGGCACTTTTGTTATGCTCGATTTGTATGAAAAACGATGAATGGAAAGACGAGAATACGGGTGAATGTAAAAATTGCGGTCCTGGAAGATCAAGAATGCAAAGTTGGTCAGGCGCTAAATATGAAAATCCTTTACGTGTATTTCTCGAATGGTTAATAGATGGATTGGGTAGAGAGCGGGCCGGTCGCACATATGCAATCTCACATTATGGAGGGTTTGTATTCTATTTGATAAAATTTATTTTTTACATTAGACGTTATGATATGCATTTGCTTCTTGGAGAATTGATAAGGCATTTTTCAATCGAACCAAATATAACCAGGACAGGAAACAAACTTTACGAGGTTCTTTTGAAGAAAAAAGCTGGATTTTGTCCGTATATATCATTCCGTGATTCTTTTAATTGGACTATGCTTAAGTTGGAACAGTTACCAAGGGCGCTTGATTTAGATATTGATGAAGGAGGAAAATCTTTCTTTCCCCACGGATGGAATTTTAATAAAAATATGGATGTACGTCTTGACGGATTACCTGATCGTCATTATTATTACCCCGATTCTATGGGAAAAGATAGAAGAAAAATGTTTGAAGAATGGTACAATCTAAACAAGAACGAGCCATTCTGTCTTCGGGAAAAAATAGTTGAATATTGCGAACAGGATGTAAGAATACTGGCACATGCGCTTGTTAAACTTCAAAGACTTTTCTTTGAACTCGCTCCTGAACCATCTAAAAGAGATGATATCATCGTTTCTTCAATGACTTTGGCTAGTGCATGTCTACGACATTTTTGTAATTTTTTAAAATAAATCTAAAATATTTTTATTTAGGCATAAATTATTTGAAAAATAACCAAATTGGTATTATTCCTGACAATGGATATCACAGAGATACTAATCAGTCTGCAATCGCCTTAAAATTTATTCGATGGCTCGAATATAAAACAGGCCTTCAAATACAAAACCGAGAATCTGCTGAAGGCGAATTTAGAATTAAAGTTTCAGATGGAAGTCTTCTACGACTTGATGGATATATCGAAGGCAAAAATGGTGGTGATGATATAGCTATAGAGTTTCTCGGATGTGCATGGCATGGTCATGAATGGTTAATATATTTTCATTTATATTTATATATCGATTAAGCCTCTACCGTCCTCATGAAATCTGTCTGAATGGGAAAACATCGTTGTACAATAAAGACAAATTAAATGAGAGAATAGATTTATTGAAAAACGAAGGAATATATACTTACATATTTTGGGAGTGCGAAGTAAACAAAGCGTTAGAAGAAGATCCCTTAATGTCACTTTACTTTTCTGAATTGCCAGACATTGGTCCTTTATTTCCACGTGATGCATTCCACGGTTGGGAATTTTTTTACAATTATAATCTTGCTACTCTAGGTGGAAGAACTGGTCCATTATCGCTTAAATGCAATCTTGAAGATATTGCAGAAAATAAATTTGAAATAGTGTGCTATGACGTCGTTAGTCTTTACCCAGCCGTGAACTTTTACGCTTTTTATCCTATTGGTTAGTCTCTTAATTTTAAATAATACATATTTTTAGGACATCCAGAAGTATTAGATTTGAATCTTGAAATAAATTGGACGAAACCTGAAGATGTTCATCCTTATCGAGGACTATTTAAAATATTTATCATTCCACCTGACAATTTATATTTACCTGTAATTCCAGAAAGAATTAACGGAAAATTAGTGAGTCATTCTTTTAATTTTTCTATATATGTAAAGATATTCCATTTATGCCACCGCTGCGCAATCGAAATGGAACCGGGAGTAGCGAAGCGAAAAGAAAATAAGTATGACAAAGAAAATGGTAGAAGATGGTGTACACATAACGACAAACAACGGGGATTTGTAAGCACTACTTGTACAGTTGAACTCGAGTTAGCCTTGAGAATGGGCTATCGCGCAACAAAAGTTTTTAGCATTTATCACTGGGATGAGTGGTCTGATACGTTACTACGCCCATACGTTCAAGACATGATGCGCTTAAAAATTGAGGTTTAATTTAAAAAAAGATTATTAACTTTTTTAAAGGCAAGCGGTTGGCCCAGCAGCGTTCTCTCCCCAGAAAATCCAGAATTAGAGGAAAAGCTCAAAAATGATTTTATCCATCGCAATCAGAAGGAATATGGTATAAAACTTGTACCTTCACGAATTGCCAAAAACGAAGGATTGCGTTATTTAGCTAAAACCTGTAATAATTCAATGTAAGAAAATATTATTACTTCTTATATCTAAATTTTAGGTGGGGACGATGGGCACTTAGATGCAATTTAACTCAAGATTGTATAACTAGCTCTCCTATAAAATTCCACACAATTCTTAATGATCCTAAGCTGGAAGTAGGAGCTATTGAAATGTTGGCACCGAATCTCTTTGCTATCCCTTATCGGAATCGAAGTGAATTTGTCCGACCTCATGACAAATACAATATTATTTTGGCTCTAATAACGACTGCAACTGCAAGAGTTATGCTTTATGATTATATGGATCGAATTGTTAAGGAAAACAAATGTAAACTCCTCTACACGGATACAGATAGTTGTTTCTTTGTCAAAAAACTAAATAAAAATGCACCATTTCGTGTGGGAGATATGCTTGGAATGATGAGTCGCGAATATGAAGACTGGTCTATTGTGGCTTTTTATACGGGCGGCTGTAAACAGGTATAAATATTTAATTTTTAATTAACAAAAAAATTCTTAGTACGCAATGAAGATGAAACATAGGGAAAGTGGCGAAATTAAATATATTATCAAATGCCGTGGATGTTGGGATAGTGTTGACTCTCCATTAGATTTTAACCAATTTCGAGTATAATTTTTTAATTTTTAATTCAGGTTTAATTTCTAGAGAATGGTAGAGTCTTACGGAGATGATCAGGACCCAGTTGTCCTAAAAAGAACTCATTTTCAACCAAGCTGGCGACAAGGTGAAGTAACAAGTCGTTCTCAAACAAGGTATTAGTAAAATAGAATTTTTAAAAGAAATATTTGCAGACGCTACGCTCCGATCTATGATAAAGGAATAGTTGATGCAAATTTTGACTGCTATCCTTATGGTTACAGAGGAAATCCCATTATTGATCCTACAGAATAAATATTCTTGCATAAATATACAAATTTTTAAAATCTGTATTTTATTTGTTTTCAACTTTATATATTACTTTAAATTACTTTAATTTTTAATTTTATTTAAGTAAAGTGAAGTATGATTAGTGATAATAAAATAGGTAATCAATTACTAAAGTATTAATTTAAAATTTATAGAAACGACAGCATGCATTCTTGAGCGATTACATTTAAATCACGAAGCAAAATCGTATCCTCCTGAAGAAATTCTTGGAGATCAACAACAAAATATATTTGTATTCTATTCGCAACGTTTTGGCTTTGATAATCGATTTAGAGCCAATTTCACATTGCTTGGAAGAACATTTAGTTCAATAGAACAATACTTTATATGGCAGAAGGCGCGCTTTTTTGGAGACTTGGAAATTGCTAGTCATGTTTTACTGTCCGATAATCCTTTGACTATACGACGAATCGGTAAACGTATCCGTCAATATAATCATGATGAATGGAATTCTGTTCGTAATAAAGTAAAATTTTATTTTTGCTAATTTCGCTATATAATCAGGTTATGTACACTGGTCTTTGGGCAAAATTCACTCAGAACACGCAACTATTCAACCAGTTACGTGCCACAGGCGATGGTCTTATTACCCAGGCTTCAACATCAGAACTACACTGGAGCAACGGTGTAAGTCCAAAAAGTGCTCGACTTAAAGATCCTAGTCAATGGGAAGGTGATAATATACTTGGCAAGCTTTTAATGGAATTAAGAAGCGAAATTAATACAAGTATTTATTAATTTTTTAAAAACATAAAAATTGAATTGTAAACTTTATTTTGAACATAATAAACTTCTTTCTCTGTCTTTGCGCCTGTAATTATACATTTTCCTGTTGTAAAAACTATGACAACTGAACGTGAATCATTCATCCTTAGGCACATTCCCGGGAAAAATTCAGGGTTGTAAGAAATATATCGAGCTAACCATTTTGGTGGAGCAATTCGCATCGTATCATACAAGGCTAAAAATAATAAATAGCTTATAAATTAAACAACCTGGTAAGTTAAGATGACCGGGAAATTCAAATGAAGATACAATATTTTGTATTTTAAAAGCCCGCATATTTATTGCTAAGTCACATGCAGAGGATAAGAGGTGAACAAAATTCCTAATACCAATTTCTGATTCATTAACCGATTTTGTTCCAACACATACAATCTTTCCGTTAGAAAATACCAGAGCAGTAGACCTAATGGGTTGTTCAACTTTAATTATAAGTGCTGAGAAACGTTCTGGAGAATATTTTGAATTTTTAATAATAGTTGCAATTGTATATAGATCGAATTTATTATTTTTATCAAGTAGTTGTGCCGTAGATACAACATTTTGTATGATTGCCTTAGGAAACATCTAAATATATAAGTCAAGCAAAATATTTTTAAAAATAAAAAATGTTCAAAGCACCTTTCACTATGGTTATTTCCGGTGCCACAGGCACCGGAAAAACCCAATGGATAATGAAATTTCTAAACAATTTTGAAGAATTAGTTGAACCTCCGCCAAATAAAATTCTATATTGTTTTGGCGAAATGAACGAAAATATATTTAAACTAAAAAATATGGGAATTACAACTTATAATGGGGTTCCAGAAGTTGATCTAATTAAACAACACCAATTAATAGTACTAGATGATTTAATGCTGAATATCCCTGCGGAATTTTTAGATTTACTGTTCACTCGGGGATCGCATAATTGGGGTATAAGCGTAATCTTTGTAACGCAATCACTTTACGGACGAGATATCAGGACTGCTCGTGCAAATGCACATTATATTCTTTTAACCAAAAATCCTCAAGGACTTCTCCAGGTACGTACATTAGGATCTCAACTTTTTCCAAAAATGTTAAACTATTTTCTCGAGGCTTATCGTGATGCTACTAGTGATAAATTTTCCTATTTACTAATTAATATGCATCCAAGTACTGAAGAGAATTTGAGACTTTCTACTAAAATATTTCCAGGTGAAAAACAGACTATATATTTGCCGCTATAATATATAAGTACTTGAAAAAAACTACTAAATTGAAACATGTATAACTATAGTCCATACGTTAAAGAAAATTTTGAATTTTTACAGCGTTTAGCTAAAACATCTTCCGATAAAAAGAAAAACGCCTTAATTCTATCAGCCAGCGCGGATCAAATATTAGCAATAGTTGAAATCTGTGCTAATATTTTAAAAAATAATTTTATATTAAATAGAAGACAGCGCAAAAAATTAGCTCAATTTGCTGAGTTTTATAGAGCTATCGCTCGAACACGTACAGAAAAAAGCGCCAGAAATCGAATACAACAAGGAGGTAGTGCCGCTCTAGCAGCTATACTTGTACCAGTGCTTGGAGCTTTGGCGGAACATATTATTCATAGATTCACACAAGAATGAAACATACAAAGAAAATGATTATGGTTCCTGAAAGTGAATATCTTGCATTTCTAAGCATGATTAAAGGCGTAGATTTTCTTCAAAATGAAAAGGTACAAACCGACTCAAAAATTAAACAGACTCTTACTGATCCAAATTTAAGTGAAGATGTAAAGGCACAAAAATATAAATTGTTATATAAAAAAAGAAGACAACTCAAACATGAATTAGAAAATAGGCCTCAAAAGGTGATAATCGATGAAACAGCGAGAGCTACAGAAGTTGCTCCTTACCTAAAGGAAACTGCAGCCCCTAAAGTACAGGTAATGCCTGTACAATCGAGTTCAGAATATCAAACAGATTCAGAATTTACATCGCCAAAACTAATGAAAAGAAGAAAAACAACACCTTTTAATGGAATTATTTCAAAGAGATATTCTAAGGATTTAGAAAATTATGTCAAAGATAATGCTGAAAAATTTAGAATACGTAAGAATGGAAGCTTTGAATCTAATGTCAAAGGAAGAATTGTAAAGAATAGTAATTTCACTGAAGTGCTCGAATATGTACAAGGTGATATATCGTCACCCCCTAAAGGTTTTAGTTTTCTATTTAATCGATTATCCAAAGACCCATTAGTAAAAGAAATGATCAAAGAGACGCAAGGAGAAAGTAGTACTGAGGAAAGTTCTGGTAGTCAATCAGGTAGCGGAAAAAGGAAGAAAAGAGTCTTGGTAAAAGTCCTGCCTATAAAAAAGAAAAATAAGTTTATTCCTCAAATATGGGAAAAGCTTTAGATAACTTTTTATCAAAAATATATTATTCGTTAAATTCTCCTGCTTCCTATGCAGGAATAAATCGCGTTTATGAAGAAGCGAAGCGCAAATATCCAAAGATAAAATTTCAGGATGTTTATAATTTTTTGCATAAGCAAAGAGTGTATACCATGCATAGACCCTCCAGAAAAAATTTTCCAAGGCTAGTTACACGTCCAAGTGGTTTTCACACTGATTGGCAGGCAGATTTAGCAATATTTGATCAGATAGCTAAACATAATGATAGTAACAGGTATCTATTAGTATGTATTGATGTTCTAAGTCGCATGATTTTTGTATCGCCTGTCAAAACTAAGAGATCAGAAGATATGATTGAGGCATTTGAAAAAATTTTCAAACTTTCTAATGGTATCTTGCCTCATAAACTATACACTGATCGCGGGTTAGAATTTGAGGCTAAAAAAATGAGAGATTATTTTAGATCAAAGAATATTGATAAGCGTGTAGTTTATAGTCCTGATGTGCATGCTTCAATGGCAGAAAGGGCGAATCGTACAATAAAGGAAAGATTATATCGATATTTCAGTGAGAAAAATACACTGCGATGGGTTGAGGCTATTCAGAAAATTGTATCGGTAATAAATTCTAGCGTAAACCGTATTACAGGTGTTACCCCTAATTCAGTTACTTTTAAAAATTCTCGAAAATTATTTGAGAGGCTATATAAGGGCACTGGTACAACTATTAAAACAACTTCTAAACTCGAGCCTGGACAAGTTGTCCGCATTTCAAAAGAAAAGGGTAAATTTGAAAAAGGATATTTACCTAACTATACTGACGAGCTTTTTCTTGTACATACAACGAACGACACGAATTCGCCTATAACATATAAGTTAAAAGATTTTGAAGACAATATAATTGAAGGAATATTCTATAGAGAAGAGTTGGTGCCCACACAAGAGGATACTACTCATCGTATTGCCGAAATTTTAAAGACTCGTACTACACGTACTGGGATAAAACAACATTTTGTGCGTTGGATTGGTTATAAAGACATTCATAACAGTTGGGTAAACGACAAAGACATCGTTAGACATTAATTATGGATTCATTTTATGTTGTCTTACCTTCAAATTCAGGAGATGTTGAAGGAAATACTACTTCAAAATTCACAGTAAGAATGCCTGATACTCTCGAGTTAGATTCAAGTTGGACTGTTGCACTTTCAAATATTATTTACCCATTTTCATTCTCTTTACTTGGAGATTCCGATGAGCAGGAATCTATTACAATTTATCGCCGATATGGAAAGGAACTTCTATCTGTTCGAATCGAGATACCCGATTTGTCTTTTGCTTCAGAAGAGGCCTTGGAAGAGGCCATAAATGCTGTTTTGCTTGATACTTGGAAAAAGGAATTGGATCGCGAGCGAGAGGAAATGAGACTTGAAGAGAATAAAAAAAGAATTTATGGAAATATTCGTAAAAGACGAGCTGTTGAGACTATAAGCGAACAATTAGTTAAAAATGGTTATTTTGATTTATCAAAGGAAATTGCATTTAATTTCATGAAATTTTTAGGGAAACAAGGAATTCGTTTACCTCCTATAAGTCCTCTTGCAATAGATGGTATAGAAATGGTTCGTTTCACTCCAAATCAAGATCAAATAGAGCGGATCAAACAGGCACTTGATGAATTTACTAATCCTCCCTCAGCCAATCAAACTGAAGAAGAACACTCAAATGTTACTACTATGGAAGAAACCCGTGAATCTACTCCACAAACACAGACTGAGCTTAAACAAAAAGAAATATTGCCTGCTGCTAACCATGAAAGTTTCATTCAACAATTGGAAGCGGAAGGTTACTTCGATATGCCAAAGGATCGTGCTTATAAATTTATACAATATTTAAATAAAGAAATTAAGGGGGCAAAACTTCCAGTTCTATCTTCGGTTCCGGAAAGCTCTGTAGAAACTGTTCGATTAAAGCCGCAAACTGAGCAAAAAGATTTAATAATAAATGCAATTAAAAGTTTTGCATCAACTTCCGCGCCTAAATCTGAAAATCCTTTACAAGAAGCAAGTATAGTGGAAAATGTTGATGAAAATCCTGAAACGGATACGCCTGCTCCTTCTCAAGTTCAAGTTAAAAATCAAATTAATGAAAAAACAGAAAGTTCGCATACATCTGATAGTTCTATAACTGATTATCTTCCTATCCCAAAGTCTCCTGTATCATATGCTCCTACTGAAGTTCCAGTATCTTCTGAAGACAAATCGAATGATATACAACAGGATACTGAAAAGCAAAAGGATAAAACTCCCTTAGACGTTAAAATAACACCTCTTTCTGATACTTCACCAACCCTAACAGATGAACAAAAAACTTTAATAGATATGGCTGTTCGTGCAGCTACAAGGTCATTGACTAACAGTGTAGAATTGGCAAATCAACAATCACAACTAAATAAAGAACTTAATCAGAAATATTGGGAAGATGCTCGTTATAAGTATGCACTAATAGATGAAGAGGTAACATTAAATGAGACGGGTATAACTAAGAGAAAAGTACCTGCAACTATTCTAAGATTGGTTGTAACACAATTAAAACTATTGTTTAGTCGAAGAAATGAAATAGATAAATGGATACAAGAATGTTTAGAGGCAAAAGATAGGGTTTCAGAAGCACAAATAGAAACTATAGCGGCAGAATCACGCGGCGATGTTACTGATGCACGAAAAGCTGCAGATCGTGCTAAGGCCTCAGAACAAAAGGTTAAAGAATTAGCCAGTCAAGTTGAAGAAGCTGTTGCGGGTCAGAAAATTTTATCGGAAGAAATTGTAGGAAAAGTTGAAGCTGAACTTTCGAAACAAGACTATGAAACTTCATCATCAAAACTAACAACTCATGATGATGAAGAGACTTCGACACATGAAGAGGAAAATAATGAAAGTCAAGTCGAACATGAATCAATAAATGAAGAAGAGCCTAAAGGACCTTCTGAAGATACGCAGGAAACTGCTAAAGAGCCTTCTACACACGAAGAGGAAAATATTGAGGAAAAAGCTGAGCCAATAGATGAAGTCGCTGAAGAGCCATCTGAAGATAAGTATGAAAAGGATGAAGAAACTTCAGCACCTGCAGATGAGGAAAATGCTGACGAAGAACATGATCAAGAAGACGTTGAAGAACCTCAAGGAACATCTGAA